AGGGGTGGGGAGGAGAGGAGAGGAGAGGAGAGGAGAGGAGAGGAGACGAGACATACCTTTCTCCTGGGTGGGAAGAACCAATATAATGAAAATGGCCATATTTCCAAAACTGCTATATAGATTCAATGCAATTGCAATTAAAATTCCAACAGCATTCTTCACAGAACTTGAGAAAACAATCAAAAATTTCATTTGGAACAAGAAAAGACCTAGAATAGCAAAAGCAATTCTAGGAAACATAAACAAGGTATGAGACCTCACAATCCCCAATTTGAAACTATACTACAAAGAACTGTGATTAAAAACAGCGTGGTACTGGCACAGAAACAGACCTGAGGATCAGTGGAACAGATTGGAAGATGCTGAAACAACTCCAGACACACCCAGCGGCCTCATCTTTGACAAAGGAGGCAAACACTCTCACTGGAGGAAAGATGGCCTCTTTAATAAATGGTGTTGGAAACACGGGGTTTCAAGCTGCCAAAGAATAAAAGTAGACCCATATCTCTCACCATGCACTAAACTAAAACTGAAATGGATCAAAGATCTAAATAGTAAAATAGGAACAGTAAATTGGCTGGAAGAGAGTTGAGGTAGAACTCTAGAAGACCTTGGCGTAGGATGAGACTTCATGAACAAAACCTCAGTCACACGGGAGTGAGCAGGAAGAATCAACAGCTGGGATCTCATCTTATTAAAAACCTTCTGCACAGCAAGAGAAATCACCAACAGAGTAAAGAGTCAACCCACAACATGGGAAAATATTTATACCAGCTGTTCCTCACACAAAGGTCTACTGTCTATTTATAGTAGAATATAAAAAGAACTTTTAAAAAATCAGACCTTTCGCACTTAAATACCCAATTCAGAATTGGTCATCTGAAATAAATAGACATTTCTCAGACAAAGAAGTAGAAATAGTAAATAGACATTTCTCAGACAAAGAAGTAGAAATAGCAAATAAACATACGGAAAAATGTGCAATATCTCTGGTTATTTGAGAGATACAAATGAAAACAACACTGAGATTCCACCAAGGCTGCTATCAAGAAATTAACCAATAACAGATACTGGCAGGGTTGTGGGGGAAAAGGAAAAAAGGGGGGAACAAAGGAGTATAGACTGGTGCAGCCATTGTGGAAATCAGTATGGAGATTCCTCAAAGAACTAGGCTTAGAGGTCCCATTTGACCCAGCTATCTGCCGGCTAGGTATCTTCCTAAAAGAATTAAAAGAATCATACCACAGTGATATATGGCACTCGTTTCACAGTGGCACGGTTTGTAATAACTAAAACTTGGAAGCAGACCAATTGCCCATCATCTGGGAAAATGTGTCTTTTTTAAAAAAATAAAATAAAATGGAGCACTACTCAGCCATAAAGAATGAGAAACTAGAGACATCTATAGCTAAATGGATGCACATTGAGGCCACCCTCTTCTGTGAAATGAATGGGACATGTGTGAATACTGAATAGTTTCTCTGGTGTAAATGAGAATCAAAATGTATAACAGATAATGTGAAATAGGAAGAAAGGCTCCAAAGAAGAAGGGGAAGGGGAAAGGAAAGTGGGAGGGGTAGGGGCAGGAAGAAGGAAAGAAGGGAAAGGAAAAATATGAGAAAAGGAAAAAAATGGAAACAAAGTCTTTGTAAATAGGGAGGGGTGGAGGGATTGAAGGGAGGGCAGGGGTGTGGGGAAAAAATAAGAGCCGCCATACATCATGTAAAGGTGCAATTTCCCAATGATGAGTGTTGTAATACTGCATATCTAAAACGTACCAATAAACTTAAGGAATTAAAAAAAAAAGAGGTAGAGTCCAGTAAAAGGCTGTTGGGTCCAGGGGCACTGCCCTCTGAAGAGATGAATGTTGTTTTGCTGGGACCCCCTAGGTTCTCCGAGGTGACTTGCTGGAAGAATGCCAGCTCAACCCCCAAATCTCTCTCTAGACACCTGGCTCACCAAACAGTCCAGCTCTAGGAAGGCTTGGAAAGCTCTCCTTTAATGTCAGAGGAGACCCGCTGTCCATCCCAACCAAGACAGACTCACAGACAATATGGGTGAGGCATAACGGGATTCAAGGACAAAGTTTTATATCGCAACAATGCAAAATCCTTGGAGCCACAGGCATCAGCCTTCTAGTCGATTGACTGTCTTTTCTTCTAAGCCCTCAAATGGCATTAAATGATTATAAAAAGGGTTTTTAAATAAGTTTAATCAACACCAGAAGTTTCACTATGTATTATCTCTAGGAGTCCTTCACATAAGTGAGTCTTGTAAACTTCTGATATGGAAATATGAATTGTGGATTTTCCAAAACTTAATGGGCTCCAGGAATCCACATTTTTTCTTTTTGCACATGTATTTCTATTGCACTAAACCTATTTTGGAAATTATGGTCTTCATAGTCTCTGTAAAATTCTCAAGCTAGATCTTCAATAGGAAGAAAATAAACTTGCTCATAAATTTTCCTTATCAACCCTTCAGGAAGTGGCTGGCAGACAGGTCTGCCTTAGGGTAGCTATCAGAATTCCGGGGATGACCAAGATAAAAGCTGGAGAATGGAGAAAAGTTGAAGTGAATGAGCTTGATATGTGGAAGGCAGCAGTGGACAGCTCTCAAGTCATCATCAGAATCCAGCAAGACGACAAAGCAAGAGCCACTCAGAAGACACTAGGCTAAAGTGAGGTAAGCTATAGAAATCAAGTTAGTCTGAATTGCTAACTATAGAATTCTTGGGAATAGCTTCATCAAACAATTTAGATGAATGCTAAAACTTTGCTTCCTCTGGTATTTAATCTATGCAAGTATGAATTTACCAGCCCTGTGTCATATGCCACTAGAGTGTTTATTAGAACAAAGTAATAAGTAATTCCGCTGGCTTCACTAAAACTTACTCTAGTTAGAAGCATTATTCCATCCACAGTGCAATGTTAACAACTAAATGTGTGCGATCAATAAAGAGACAGACTTTTATTCTGAGATTCAGTTATAACCAGTAAGACAGTCAAGACCTGTACACATTCGCCTATAGTAAGGACTTAGCCATGGCAGATGTAGTTTATCCCCAAAGAAGAGTCAGTAACCATTTAGAGGGCTATCATTTTATCAGAACAGCCCTCCTAGGCTACAGCAACAGGGCAGAATTTTCCTTCACAGTCTGCTGCAGCTGACTCATGTCCAATTAAAAAACACTCAGATAATGGGGGGGGGTGTAAGGAAAGTGGGGATAGCCGCATAAATAGTGGGTGCTCTGAAGTATGGTTTAAAATGAACATTTATGATTAATTTATGTTAGAGAACGTGTACAAGAATAGTGATGCACATTTACACCCAGCAAGAAAACCTCCACTTACCCCATGGGTTTAGCTGGCATTTATCCTAGCTCTCTCACTGCCACCTAGTGGTTTACAACAAGTGAATTCCATTCTGGCAACATTACCAGCACCATCAGAAAGAAGCACTTCATTCTATAGTTGAGACATTAAAGAACATTTAAACTCATTCTTGCTTTGAAGGATACTGTTTCAGGGCATAAACTACCTTGATGCAACCTCTACAAAATTTACAGCCACCAACCCCAAGCTATGTTGCTGAAAGAATGAGCCTTCTGGTATACCTGCTGCCATCACGCGGACTGGCAAGGCTTTCTGCAAGATCCTGCGAGTCCATGTGCCAGTGAGCTCAGTTGCTGGACTTTGCCTAGAAAAATAAATTTCAATTCACTCACATCAAAAATACTAGTCCTAGCACTGACTAATATCATGAGTGAACAAGTTTTTAAAGCTTTCTTGAGTTTTATTTTCTCAAATCTTTAAAATATACAGAATCAGTAACCATCTCAATACTGTTCTACACATATATAAAATATATCTTTGTAAAGTTTTAATAAACAACATAAGTTGAATAAACAGTAGGCATTAGTGTTTCAGTGTCTTCAAAAGGGATAAGATGCATTTGCATATTTTTATTTCATTATATATTTTAGAATTTCATAGGGTGAAACAACAAAATTTTTGAACTCACATCCCCAAATGCCCCGAAGCTGCATACATATTAGCAATTCCAGACATGTAAGTATTGAGTGTATTAAGAAATGTCAGTGTTTCAGAACCAGGTCCTTTCCCTTTGCTCCCCAGCCTTGCTTTAGTCCTTATGACAATAGGGCGTCCTTTCTCTGTGTTTATGACACTCTTCCAAGAAGCAGAGTTTTTAGCTGAATGTATGATGAGGTTAAATTCTAACTCACAGCTATTACGCTGTTTACTCAGTCACTTGTAGTTGCCCTGTTGCTATTTAGAACCGTCTTGACAGCACTGTCATAAATTGAGAAGGCAAACGAATCACATATTCTTGCTAGGTGAGATCTTTCCCCCGCCCTCTCATTGCAGGATTCCATTTGCATGCATCACCTTAGAACTGTGTATTCCTAGTTGCAGCAAAGACAGAAATCTTACACAGTGATGATACTGTGATTAATTTCCTAACGAGAGCACTGTCCTCACCTACTTTTTGTTCTTCCCCAGGTTGGTCACAACAATATTATGCCTTGGAGTTCTTCTAGCCAACAGGGCCGACGAAAATGGCGACTCTTCGTCAGAAGAAAACTTCTGTCCTGGTAATGGACCTGGTGTGTGCCAAAGAGGCTACTAAAATGTGTCCAATATACCGCTATCTGCTCCTGTTCTCTTACATTCAAATCGGCGATTCTTTAAAAATACATAAGGCATTATTTTTAGAACAGGTAGGGTCTGTGTGCCTTTGGAAGTGAAACAGGTCGCTGTGGAAAATAGAATGATAAGCCGAGTGGTTTCCTAGCACTACAGGGGGATCATCTTTTGCACAGAGATGCATTGTGTCTCTCAGTGTCAAGAAAGAATGCCTTTGCCTCGAAGCTAGCAGGCTCTAAGTTTTAAACTGAAGACAGGGGAAGGCGAGAAATAAATGTCCAGGATAAGAGGAATACAGAACAGAAAATAGTGTAGGCCCTGAAAGTGAGTCACAACCAGAGGAGACAGAAAATGCCTCATATGCCTAATACCAATGGGCCTCAGAGTAATAAAAAGAAAAGCCTGTATTCACATATGATAGAGGCACTGAAATAATATGAGTATCTAAAGGAATGAGAAGATGCATCAAGGATGGAAGTATGTCCTGTTTGTACTGAATGACGTGAGGGAAATCATTTAGAGCAGGGGCCAGCACAAAAGGTGAGAGAAACTGTGCTTATATAACCGTGGGCGTATGCCACACACGCCTGAATGGTGCACAATGTGAAACTAACTTAGGAGGAAAATGTAGGAGTAATGAGAGATTGCAATTGCATCGAACGCTTCTAAGGATCTTATTAGTTTCACTGAAAACAGGCCATCTGATACAAAACATCTACAGTCTCCCTTACATCCTCAGAAGGTAGAAGAAGTCATCAAAAGAAGGGCCGCTCTGGAGTTCGTTCTGACAGACAAAGCAGAAAGGTGAGGATAGAAAGAGGGAAAAGTGAACAGGCCTTTCTGTGATCCTGCTACCAGGGCCAGGAACACTGGAAATTTACCACAGATGAAATGAAAACACATCCGCAAATGCTTGGAGAGTATATGAGCTGTATAGGTGCTGGGCTGCACAGCGCTATTTCTTCAGATTAGAGTGCTGTTGCCTTCCATTTCGTACAAATGCTGCAATTTATTATTTTACTTCTTGTTTGACTGAATCTGCATTTTCTCCGGATGTTTTATTTTTCCTTAAAATAACATTGCGATAAAATGTTGAACACATCTCTCTGTGTACACATTCAGAAGATACTCTAGAGTAAGACCCTCGTGGGGAAATTGTTAGATCCAATCTATGTATATAGATTAGATTTCTAGAGATTGCCAAATTATTATTCCCAGTTAAAATCCAGCACTCCCACTAGGAAGGTATAAGTTCCACTCTTCACACAGTCTAAAATATATAGTATTGCCGTTGAATCTTTGCTAATATGATGGTTTCATTTTATTTTGGAGAATTCTAATGAGATTGAACATGTTCATATGGTCCTCCGTCTTTGCATTGTATTTTGGTATCTTTTAACTATTGTCTTATTGTTTTGTAGACCTTTCCATCATGTTCCAGTTAATACAAACTCCTAATTCAAAGTCAAATTTATCAACAAAGATTATATAGTGATAAGGCATCATATCACTCAGGACTCTACTTGGGATTACAGAGATGTAGGTACTAAAGTAAGAGATAGATATAGTGAAATAAGGCAGTCATCTTTTTCGGTTTTTAGTGTCGCCCTTCTTCATTTATTTTGGTACTATATCCTTTAGGCATTAGGCATTGTTAAAATAATTCTACACAATGAATCAACAACAAGGGTTTATTCTTCTACCCATAAGTCTGCAGGTCAGCTAAGGTTTTGCTAACATTGGATGGAGCTGGCTAATAAACAGTGCCTCAGTCCGTGGTCTGCTTGTGTTTGGCTACAGGTTGAGAGGCTCAGCACTGCTACACATCATTCTATAATTTTATTTTTTTCAGCTTTAATTGAGTTTATTGGTACATTTTAGGGATACAGTACAGTTACATTCATTGTTGGGATCTTGTACCTCTACATGACAAGTCTTGGTTCTCATTTTTTTCCCCTGTCCCTGCCCTTCCTTGACCCCCTCCTCCCCTCCCCATCTACAACCACTTTATTTCCATCTTTTCATTATCTCACATTTTTTTCTTTGCCCTTTTCACCCTTCCCCTACCTGTCCCATCATCCCTACACCTTTAGCTCCTTTCTTCCCATTTCTAAATGTCAGTAATCTTATTAGGATCTTCTGTATTGTTGCAGATTATTCACACCGGAGAAACTATTCTGTATTTACACATGTGTGCCTTATTTATTTCACTTAGGAGTATATCTTCAATATCATTCTAGATCCGCAGTCGTTTGGGATGTGACCACACTGAAATGGCAGAAGGCATTGAGCAAACCAATCTGTGCACATCTTCACCTATCTGAAAGCCTCTACTCATGTTAGCTACTCATATTCCTTAACAAGCCACATGGCCAGCTCTAAAGAGAGGTGGGAATTAGCAGAGACTCAAGGAGAAAGAAGAAATAATGAATATATTTATTGAATAACATTGGAGTCTGTCGCGGGGAGCTTATCTATTAGGGTGTATATACTTTCAGGCTGGCTTTTTCTGGAGGAACATAAAAAAGTCACACTTTAACCAAACAATCTCTGTGTGTGTGAGTGGTGGTAATAATCTTGCCTAATAATTCTCACTTTACAATGTTATAACGAATGAAACAACTCTCAGTCATGTAGAATAACTCTAGAAATGCACAGTAGAAGGACTATAGTAAAATTACATTGTAGAGGGGCCAGGGATTTAGCTCAGTGGTTCTGCCACCTGCCTCACAAGCGTGAGGTCCCAAGTTTGATCCCTGGTACAAAAAAAATAAAAAATAAAAAATTATATTATAGAGTGAAAATGTGCTGAGAGATTTTAGTGCTCTTACTATATACACTAAAAGGGTAACTATAGAAGGGGAAAGGTAGATTGATTTGTTTGACTGTAGTAATCATTTCTCTATGCACGTGCTCCTAAATTACATAATACATAATTTTAAAAGAATGAAGGGTAATGATGGGTCATAAATTCCTATAAACTAAAGCTCTCCCTTCAAGTTATAATCTGTTGTATATTTAAGTCTTTATTACTTATGTTAGGACCAAAATTAGCAGATAAAATTAAATTTATATATAAGTAAAACTAACATTTCAGTAAGAAGTATAAGGTAATATTTTAATAAATGAGAAACACCGCAATATTTATGATGGTAAGAATCAATATTACTAAGAAACTCTTTCCAAAATTAATATAGTAGTTAATGCAACTCCAAAGCACTGAAACTTTGGGACATTTCTTTTCGATACAGGAGAAAAATAATGTCGTTTGTGTATGAGAATTCAACATGCAGAAAATGTCAAATATTTTTGAAAAAATAGTGAAGGGAATTGCATTACAGGGCTTTAAAAATAACTATAAACTAGTTTATTCTAAAGTCTTGTATTAACAAAAGCAGAAGAAGGAAGGAAATTGAATACCTGATGAATATGACATTTTAATATAGTGGTGGAAATCATTGATTAAAAAAAGTCTGGCATATTAGTCTATCCATCTGGAAAAATATAGCCTGAAAGTTTTATCTATCTTACACTGTGTATAGAAATAAATTCCAGATGGGATGAATATCTTAACTAGTGAAACTATAATAATGTAAAAGGAAAATTAGAAAAATGATTTTATAACCTGTAAGTGGAAGCAGTCTTTTAAAAGAATGTAGGAAACTCAGAAACCATATACGAAGAGATAGAAAGGAATTAAAGAAGACAGCATTATACCTGTACACGTCCTGACACACTTCCCAGACCCTGCATTCCCCTGGTTTCCCTCCTCACTCACTAACTTAGCACCTCTTCTCTGCTGTGCTCACTTCGACCTTCTGAGTCACAGGGTCACCAAGGCAGGGCTCAGTCCTTCCTCCACTTCTCTAAATGTTTCTAACAGGAGGAACCACGATTTCCAACAGGTTTTACTTGATTCACGTGAGAACAGTGCTTAGATCCAACATGCCGATATTGTAGTGGCTGTAACTTCATATTAGATAAGCTCTTGTTTTCCCCTGTTTACTTTCCATCTTGAATTGCATTTTGTGTGAAACGAGCTTTATTCTCATCATTTTTAGGTATAGTCAGTCAAATTGAACGTTGACTTCAGCTTCCTCCTAGAATCTGAGGCCAGCTCCCCAGTTTCACAGACTTCAGGCCACATCTGAGGGAAAGGTCATCTCCTTCTGCCCTTGGACTGACCCCATTGGCCCGCCCAGAGGAAACTGTTAGCATTAGGGAGTCTCCAGCTGGCCCTGACAGCTCCTTCAGATACCTGTGCTCTTAGTCCTTCTCCCAGAGCAAGTACTCCTCTCCCACACACAGACACAGGTTTGCAGGACCCACAGTGACTGAAGAACCTGTCCAGGAACAGGGCCACAGCCTCAAGAGGAACCCAACCAAAAAGCAGGCAGTCTCCACAGGCCTCCTGCTCTACCCCAGGCCCTGCTCTCGATACTTGCCTTGTTGCCTCTCCACAAATTTCTTTTTCTTCAATGTCTTTTTTTACGTAAATTACGAGTTGGAAGTGGTGATTGAAAACTGCAGTTTCCCTTTCTAAAAGTTTTCTCTTTCATATCCTATGCCTGTCTTGTTCATAAAGCTAAGGAATTAGTCTCTGTGTCAGGTTTAACCACTGACAGCACCCTACAAGGGTGCTCTGCCCTCGCTGCTGACTGGAGAAGGTTACATAAAGTACCCAACACTGAGAGAGAGACCCCCAGGCGCGGTGGTTCAGGCCCGTATTCCCAGCACAAAAGCTGAGGCAGGAGGATGGCAAGTTTGAGTCAGGGTCGCACGACTTAATGGTTTGTCTGACTCTGTCTTATAGTAAAAAATAAGAAAAAGACTGTGGATGTAGCTCAGCGTGAAGGCCCTGGGTTCAATCCCCAGTACCACAAAATGAATGAATGAATGAGCAGATGATTAAAAAATTTGGGCTTGATGATGCCTTCAAAACTTTTCAACAAACTGATTAATACTGGGAAAAGGACATGAACAAG